AGTTATTGCCAACTTTGCCACTGAAAACTCAGTTCAGCTGACTATGGATATTTTTCCACAGGACATTGTTACCGTGATTTGCTTACTACTACTACTACTACTACTATTATTATTATTATAATTTTTCAACATCCAGGTTGACTCTGGACTTACTACTGGCTCTGCTCTCAAAAATCATTCCTAGGGGGCTTTGTGGCCCATATTAGTTGGCAGGGATTAAATCCAAGACTGCAAGGCAAAGACTCTGTCTGCTATTCTTTCTGGTCCCCTGCTTTGTTTCTTAATAAAGCACATCCGAGTGAGATCATTAGGTATTATTTTTCTCTCCTTAAGACAGACTTTCAAATAAGGCTGGAGCAGTAGTACAGGGGAAGGTTATTTGCCTTGCACACAGCTGACCCAGGTTTTATCACATATTGTCCACTGAGTATGCAAGAAGTGATCTCTGAGCTCAGAACCAAATATAAGCCCTAAGCACCACCAGGTATGGTCCACAAACAAACAAAAAAGGAAACTGATACTTTGATAGGGAAGATACAGAATGATTCTTAAATGTGGGATATAAAAAAATCAGTATATGGGAATAACAATGGTCAGAGACTGCACAACCTAAGAACTGCTTACAGGACTGCATTTATCAATGGTTGGGTGGAAGGAGAGCATTTGAAAGAGAACCCTGAGTCAATAGGGGAGGGAAGCAGTGTACACTGGAGGGGTGTGTGGTGTTGGAATGTGGTATGCATAAAGCCCTGTAAGAAATAGTGTGGCCTACCAGAGTGCTTAAAACAAACAAACAACGACAACAAAAGCACCACAAATTCAATTTTATGGAATTATATTAAGACAATCTGTCCAAAATGAATATAGTCATATTTGCACAATATATAGATACACAATGTGAAATCAGAAGGTAGACGGACTAGCTAACTTCATACTAGAAATTTGCTTTTAGAGGTGGACTAGATCATTTGGTTTATTCAGTATCCCACCTTTCTCACCTTCACAATGGGACAATAACAACCAATCTTAGAACTCACAAGGTAAGGATCAAATGAGAACTTACAAGCTGTTTTAAAATATTTAAGAGGCAAGAGAAAGACAGGCCTATATCTCATGTATGTTTGTTTTATTGATCTACAGGCAGGAATTGAATACGACAACGAGAAGTATTTGAAGCAGTTCTCCTTTTCCTTTCAAAGGGCATGTGGTTCTATTCCATCTTCATTTCTCTAAGTGAGGCATACTAGGTTGGTCTTTTTTCTTATGATGATCAGTGGCTATTCTGGTTCAAGGTTGGAAGTTTGCCTCAAGTGCTAGGGGAGAGGGCATCTGGGATAGAGAAGGGACCATTAGGACAAAGATAGTTGGAAATGATCACTGTGGATAAGAACTGTGTGCTGAAAGTAGGAACAAACAGGATTATCAGTATCTGTGTTGCACATCATAGTGCCCAAAAGGTGGAGGGGAGAGGAGGGGACGGGAGGGGACGGGACGGGAGGGGACGGGACGGGACGGGACGGGACCTCAGAGCCATAGAAGCAGGCTGGTGGGGAGGGGATTATGGGAGGGAAACTGGGGTAATTGGTGGGAAATAGACAGTGGTAGAGGGATCCGTGTTGGTCATTGTATGACTGAAACCTGATCATGTACAGATTTCTAACTATGTATCTCATGGTGAATCAATTTAAATAAAAAATTAAATTAAATTAAATTTAAAAAGTACTAAATGTTTTTACTTTGGTATTTGACAGTATACCTAATCCACTAAAAGTTCAAGTTTATCAGAAACACTACATTTTTAAATGGGAGTCCCACCTAACCAGCGTTGCTTGATGTTTCTGGAGAGGGACTGAATTCCAGACTGGTATATGCTAGGCATATACTCTACTACAGAGCTAACTTCCCAGGCTTCAGAAATGAATTCCAGCTTCCAGCAACAAAATGAGTGAAGACACTGAGGAGAAGCAATATTTTTGTTGGCTTTCTTGAACCATGTTTGCAAGCAAATGAGCACATAGCTAAAGATAGATGCTTGAGAAAGAATTCACTACACATCATTACTTAGCATCTTTCATATGCACAGCATCATGCTAAATACTGAGAGACACAAAGTGATAGAGCAAATAATGTTCAAATTCCTAATGAGTCTTTTTCTCCACCGCAGAATAAATCTGAACTCAGCATGTGACTTCCTTGAACACTTTGTACTACCATGAAATGCAGATAGAAGCAGAGTTCTATTCCTTTACCAATAGTGCTTACTATCATGATTAGATTTTCTCTGAGAATTCCAGTTTTGTGACAGGGTGAGTAGGAACAATGATGATATGAATTACACATAACAAAAGGGAATTGGTGAAGGGTCTTGAGCACTTTGGTATGGTGAGACTGTGCATACCAATATCACAAATGTTAACACTATTAAACTATAATTCAACACTTTTTAAGAGTTTTAGAAATCCTGTTATACTAATTTGAAGCAGATCAAATGTAATTAGCCTTATATTTATTTTATAAGGGAGAAAAGGCCTTTGTGACAAATATCCATCTATGGCTGTATCATATAATTATGCTTTAAGAAGTTATGTTAGTTGCATTTTATGTTTTTTTCTTTTTTTTTTTTTTTTGCCCAGTAGTGCTTAGATTAGATGCAGTCAGTCTCCTGCCCCTGCGCCTGGCTGTTCCTCACTGGGTTCCCTTGGAGGGAAGCGGGTTGAGCTTTCCTCCCCGTCCTGACCAGGGCTCCGGCAGCCAAAGACCTCCAGGACCAGTCACCACCATGCTGAGACCACTCTCCGCACACATGAAGGTACTGGCAGAGGGACAAAGCCACGCGGGTTCCGGGGCCGAGATCTCCAAGCCTACTCGAATTGGAGTCGAGCATCCTCCACCCATATCCTCCAAATTTCAGTAGGCGGGGGTCACACCCACCACCTGGCCCCCTGGCGCCGTGTAATCCCATCAATGGCCAAGACTCAGAGACTATAACATCCAGCTTCCGGAACCGCGCGGCCGCATTCGCGGACGCGCGACATCTTATCAGGACATCTTTTTATGATATCTTATTATCTCATTCCTACTCTGGACAAACTTGCAGGCTATCGAATATAGCCTGCCCACAGGGCAGAGTCTGGCAAACTCCCCGTGGCGCACCAAATATGCCAAATACCAGTAACAATGATGGGTCTCATTCTCCTAAAAGAGCCTTGAATATAATCTCAGGGCTAGGATGAAAGAGACGTTACTGGGGCCTGCTCGAGGCAATCGACGAATAACAGTGCTTAGATGTTGGGGCTATACCTAGTCATGTTAGAGATCAAACTTTGGGCCTCAGAAATGTAAATACATGCTCCAAAGCATCCTCCCATCCTCCATGACCCTGCATGTGTACTTTTCTTTCCTTTTTTTGTTTTCTTTTTTAAAAAAAGACCATAGTTTGCTGTATATAGTCTTGCTCTTCATTTTTTTGGCAAAGTTATTCAAGGTCGTGATGGCCCGTATCCATCCATCATGTGTGCCTCACAGATTTCCTTTGTCAGTCGTGCATATGAGTATGATTAATGGTTCAGGGCTCAGATTCAAGACTCTGATTGGATAACTGTCATTTCATTTGTTGGAACTTGTAATTCAAAAACATTGATGAAGTTGTCTAAGAAAAGAGAGCACTGCAAGTCAGCTTTAATTATTATGAACAACAAAGTTTGTCCATCATTGTCATAGATTCTGAACTGTTGTGAGTCCACTGGACTTCCACTAGGCCTAAAGTCATTAACACTTAAGTGACCATACTACAGCATGAAATGGTAGCTTTGTTATGTGAAAGAATGAAAATCACAACCATTGAAGGCTTCATCACTGATAGAAAAGGAGCCAGGAATGTTTAGTAAAATCTTACTTTTGTTCCTAAATGAGTTAGTAATTATTTTTCTCAAATATTTAATGTTAATTATAAGATTAATTGCCAAAAATATTTTACATGAATTATACTATAAAAGATAAAATGAAGAATAACAAATATGTTTATTAAAATTCTAGAAATTCTACTATTCAAAGATTTGAACATGATTTTAAAAAACATCTTACAAGAGCTTTAGGACTTATAAATATCAATATAATTCAAGCGTTTTGAGAAGTTAATAACAAAAGATACATTGTATGTCAGTTTTTTTTAATTTGTTTTGTTTCTTTGGTTTGGGGGCTATATCAGGAACAATTCAGAGGTTAATGAAGGTAGGGTGTTCTGGGATTACTCTTCCTGGTGCTCAGGAAGTCATGTGATACTAAGGACCACATCTTGAGCTCCTGCATGCAAAGCATTCACCTCAGACCATTGAGCTATCTCTTTTATCCTAAAAAATCAGTGTTTTTGTTTTCAAACAATGTGTTGACATAGCTTTTATTTTACAATTTGTTCTTAGTCTCACACTTTACACTTAAATTTGAAACACAGGTAAGTCATATTTTTAAAAGTTAAACTATAAAATTATTTAAATAAAATGTATTGACATCTAAAACCCTTCGTTTTAGAATGGTTTTGTGTCAAAACCATTTTTAATCTAATTTTTAAAATATATCAAATAGAAGTAAACTATACTATGGTTTTAGTATATATTTTTCTATTTGATTAGCTCGAGCTCGAGCTAATCAAATAGAAAAATATATACTAAAACCATAGTATAGTTCAGCGGCAATGCACCAGCCTAGCAGGCATGAGGCCTCTAGTTTAATCCTTAGCATCACCCCACTTGCTGAGTACAATCTAGATTCACCTCTTTTTGTCACCCCTGGAGCCAACAATTCATGTACCACAATCAAGTGTTTGGAAGCATATAACAAGAGTGTGACAACAACTAAGTGTGAAAGCATCACAATTAAATATGTGTAATCCTCAGTCATCTAAACAATGACAACAAAGTGAAAAGAGGGTGAAATGTACCAGAAAGTCACAAGTAAAATTATAAGAGAAAATAAAATGAAAGAAATAGTAACATATACCAGAGTTGATTTTGTAGTATCTGAAAATTGCTTATGTTTAATAATGAATAAAAAATAAATCAGAAGGGAAAAAAGTAAAAGACAATGGGGGGAAACTCAATGAACATATGCTTTGTTGACGTTGAACATATCACCATTAATTCTATACTGATATTTAAAAAATTCATAGCCATACTTTATTGGTATGCTGGGGATACTAGTACAATAAATAAAATGGATTTTCTCTCTTTTTTTTTAATAGGCCAATGAATCTTAGTCTTGTCACTTAGCCACCTTAGCTGGTATTTATCCAGCTTGTTGTCTCTTAGAGGAGGAATGAGATCAGACAAAACATTATTACACAAGGAAATACTAAAATGTCTTCAAATTTACTGAATTTCACATGTAAAAACAACAACATTTTATATTAATGATTATATATAGTTTAAATACTGAAATGAGAGACCAACATTGTTCAAAATATAATTTTTGAATAGACTTAGATACTGTTGTGGTTGTTATTTATGCCTCAACCACTATGAAACTCAGACTATTATTGAAAAGCACTTTTCCATCTTTCTTTATACTGAATTCAGGTTCTTGTAGATCTTTCATAATTTCTGCCTTGAGATCAGGTGGCGCTGTTGTGGTAAAGTTGCAGGTTTCTGTCAAGAAATCCCAAAGGAAGTCTCCATTTTCATTGCCTTCAATAAAACAATCGGATATGTCCATGGTAGACAGAAGGTCACAGCACTCATACTTAACTCCCATATCGTCCAGCATCTGAATGAGATCAGAGGATGTAACATACAGGCAGAGGTCATTCAGGGGTAAGCGAGATCCATACTTTTTCCATAGTTTGTTCCAGCCACTGGTTCCTGTGTAAGAGAAAATTTTGCATTCATTTTCTTTTAACTCAGCAGTGGTGCACTAGATATTCAAAGTATAATATTCCCTTGTATTTGTAACATAATACAGTTATAAGACAATTTAATAAGAAAGAAAAATTTATAAGTAAATAATTCACATTGATGCTAAAGGCTGTTTAAAAATAACAGTCAGAGCAAGAAATAGGAGGGTCAGAGTAGGTTGGGTTGCTGTTTTATATAAATTGGCTTCTCTTTAATCAAGTGGCTTTTGAACAGACAGAAAGGAAAACCAGGTTAATATAATGGGAAAGATTAATCCAGGTGGAGAGAATAGTACCTACAAAGACTGAAAGCAGGAACATATGTGGTATGTTTAAGAACTGACCAGAAAGTTAGTGATATTTGCATGGAATGAGCCAGGGGGAAAGTAGAAAGAATTGGGGCTGGAATGATAGCACAGCGGATAGAGCGTTTGCCTTGCATGCGGCCAACCTGGGTTTGATTCCCAGCATCCCATATGGTCCCCTGAGCACCACCAGGATTCATTCCTGAGTGCAGAGCCAGGAGTAACCCCTGTGAATTTCTGAGTGTGATCCAAAAAGAAAGAATTGATGTCAGGTGGCTGGCAGTGGGAATGAATAGGGAATTAAATCATTTAGAAGTGGAAGCCATTCTGGCATTATCTAATAAAACTTTCTGGATTCATGGACACATTTGATGTTTGTTTTGTCAAATATAGTAATCTCTACATGTTTGACGCTATGGAACTTTTAATGTGACTAGAAAATAAATTTTAATTTTTGTTACACTTTGGGCCGGAGCAATAGCATAGTAGGTAGGGCGTTTGCCTTGCAAGTGGCCAACATGGCCGACCCAAGTTCGATTCCTCCGCCCCTCTCGAAGAGCCCGGCAAGCTACCGAGAGAATCTCGCCCGCATGGCAAAGCCTGGCAAGCTACACATGATGTATTCGTATGCCAAACACAGTAACAATTGTCACAATGGAGACGTTACTGGGCCCGCTCAAGCAAATCGATGAACAGGAGGAGAGTGACAGTGAAAGAGTACACTTCCGTTCATTTCTATTTAAATTTTAAATTTCAATGTCAATTTTTGGACAATACATCAGAATTCCTTAACGGAAATACATTTTAACAAGATCTCTTTGGCCACCCAGATGAGAACAGAGTTAACAATTTAACAGTAGTAAGAAGACGGGGTGAGAGATGATGATAAATTGGACCAGCAAGCTTGGAGATGATGAGAACTGGTTGGATTTTTTAAATATTACACTCTGAGATCCAATCAGATTTGCCGAACAACTTGGAATTTGGTTGCGAATTGAAAAAAATTAGGGACAACCCTGATAATGGCAGATTAGGAAAGGGCTACCATGGCAACTGAATTCCTGGAGACTAGTGAAATCACCTAGTCCTAAAGTTGTCAGGACCCACCTTGTGGCTACTAAGAAACTAAGCCCTAAACTAAGCCCTTTACCTAGACCAAAGAGACTGGGCCCATCCTTCAAAAGAAGATCCAGAAGAAACAAAGGTGAAGAAAAGGAGTTTTCAAAGAAGACCATCACAACTCTACCTTTTGGCAAACCTAGCTAGAAGCCTCATGAAGGCAGCTTGGGCAACCCTATAAAAGCCACCTTGAACAAAGGAAGCACAAATGAATGCTGCCCGAGCCCATGTGCTGCTTGTGTCCATGTGGCCAAGCATATGGGGTGCCTGGGCATATGTTTTGCACACATCTCCGCTCTTAAGATGTATACTGGGGCGCTTTCTGCCTTTAGAGAAGCCCATGTTCTTTCTTGAGCGTGTTTCTCTTTCTGTCTCTCTGTTTATCTCTCTCTGTCTCTCTTTCTCTCTTTCTCCCTCCTTCTCTTTCCTCCAAAGTCTCCAAATAAAATCTGTTTTTACTTCATTGCTTATCTACTCAGAAATTCTTTTCTGTGAGAGGGGAAGGGCCTGAATGACCTGAGTTTTCCCTGCAAAGTGCAATTCCTGGCTCCAGCCTGAGTCCACAGCTCCCAGAGAAATCGGGTGATGGGGATTACCTCCCATGCCAAGGTCCAGGGGCATCAGGTGTGGTTTGATGGCCACCTGGTGGTCTGGTGGGGGCTCCGGCCTATGCCACACAGGGGCTCATCAAAAACAGTCCTATCCTTCCCTGTGTGTCCCAGAGTTTCAGAAGTGGATTGGGAGAAAGTGGCTATATCTCTCTCCTCTTTACTTCACATAAATTACTTGTGGGAGCCCACCGACTTCAACCTCAAAAATTTCGGGCTAAAAACTTGAAAAAGAAGAAATTATTATTGGGAATGGGGAGAATAAGGGAATAACAATTGTGAAGCATCATCAAGCATCTGGTTTCAGAAATGTAAATTTGAGATACTTAACGAGCATTCACATAGAAAGAGAAGGGAGACAGCTGTTAGACTTGAGATCAGAGGATATCTGAGAGAAAAGAACTAAATCACACCTATATATAATTTACCCAAGTAATCAGATATGGGGTAGCTTCTCATGTCAACCACTTACAAAATCTTGCCTTGGACTGAAAATAATAAATATTACTGTTTTCTGTAAATTTTGTTTATATTTTATGAAATATTTTTAGCAAGGACTGTAAGTAGTTAACTTAAAACTGACCCGCATAGAAGCTAGGAGATTCAACATCTTACAGAGAAAGACATCAGTTGGACTGTTCTGACACATAACAAATGAGATGAGATTATAAACCTCTCAGAACCTCAATTTTCTTGTCTGTAAAATGGAGATAACCAGACTAGTCTCAAATGTAATGACAAGTACTAAATGAGATCATTTAAGTGAGTCATTGCACAATGCTAGGTGCATACCTGATGTGTGTAAGTACTTACAAAATAAATGAGTGCTATTTGGAATTAGTCTGACAATGAATTTCTACTTCTTGCAACTTTAAGACCATGTGAAAACAAATTTTCTCTTCAGAAGTCTATAATTGTCATACATCAAAACAAATGCCCATCTCTTTACAAACCTTTCATACATTCATGTAATACTGGACTGCTAATTCCAGAGCCAGAAAAACACAATTATAGAGTGATCTCTAAGGTCAAACTGTCAAAGTGTGAAGCCTGAATTTTCTTCTTACTTGCTTTATAACCCTCACCTCATCAGTTTTTTTTTTGTTTTTGATGGCTGGTTGTTCTTTCAGTTTAGTTTTGGGGCCATACTGAGCAATGCACAGGGCTTACTAATGGCTCTTCACTCCAGAATCACTCCAAGCAGGGTTCAGATAATCCCAGGTCAGCTGCACTCAATGAAAGCAACTTAACCCTTATCCTCTGTACTATCCTTTACCCCTCAGTTTTATCATCTTTAAAATGGATAATAATAAGACCTCATCATATAATTGCTGTAATGATTCACTGAGTTAATAAAATGAAGGCACTGAGAACCAACCACAAATGATACACAAAAATATTGCTCAAGTGTTTGGGAATTAAATTGAACTTTTAACGTCTAAGTGTTTGGGAATTAAACTGAATTTTTAACATCTCTCAATATCTAGGAGAGAATCTTGCTTTTCTATTAGCTTCCAAGATTAAAAGTGAAACTTTCTTAAGGGAAGATTTCAGAGACTTGAGTATTTTTGTTTCAGAAATATCCTTTATGATATAAGGAGATTGACACTATAGAAAAGTACACAAACAATGAACATACATACTATTCTGTCTATAATTACAGGCTGCTCAAAGACATCTGGACTTATCCATGGATTACATTAATATGCCCTGATTTAACTCAACAAAAGAGACTACCCAAGGCATGAAATGTAAATAATAGCCTAGATAATTGATGTTCTTTGATATTTTAGAGGAGGCAGTGGTAACTCATGAAGCATATAGAAGAATAGCAACGAAGCAGAAAAAATAAAATCAATGGGTAAAAAAAAAGATTCATGAGTATGCATTAAAAAAATCTTTCATTCTTTCTTCCAAATTAAGACTGTCTACAAATAAGAATTTACACACGAATACAAAAAAACACATTTGCTTAACCCATTGAGATAAGCACAGAGAGATTCCTCAGTGGGTGAAGCATATGCTTTGCTTGTGGGAAGTTCGATCTCAGTTCCTGGAAACATATGGTTCTCCAAGCACCTCAGGAATGACTTCTGAGAAAAGGTAGGACTAGTCCCTAAACACTGCAGGGTTTAGCCCCCAGACAAAAACAAAAAAGAACACAGGCACAAAAAAATAGTGATGGAAAAGAATTTGTAACCATTATTAACTGTTTGGTGGGGGTTGCCTTTATTTTTATTTATTATTATTTGTTGAGTCGCAGTTAATTACAAAGTTATTCATGATTGGGTTTAAGGCATACAAAGTTTCAACATCAATCCCTTCAAGAGTGTCTTCCCTCCTACACTGTCCCAAGTTTTCCTCCCACTCCAGATTTGTTTTTTAGGGGATCATGTCTGGTGTTGCTCAGGGTCTACTATCAGTTCACTATTTCGGGGTTGTCCTCAGTGGTACTTGGAGGACCATGTTATACTAGGGATCTCACCTGAGCTTCCCAATACAAAAGATGCACACTAGCCCTCTGTGTTTTCTCCATCATCATCATCATCATCATCATCATTATTATTTTAATTTGGTAAAGAAAATAGAACTGAATACTATTTGCAGAAAATTTGCCTGTGTTATTGTTTGTGACTCAGTGCCTTTTCTAAGCCAAGTGATTTTACATTTTCAGACTGATGCATTATCATAATGGCTCTCAGTGGACATAACATATGGTGTTACTTTATTTTCAACATGATATAAACTGGATTCTTCTTTCCTACAATGTTAAAAATAACATGCCGCAATTTGCTTCCTTCTTTTGTTAACAGGAAGGACAGAAAACTTCAATGATCTCTTTTTAGTCAGAATAAATTACATTTAATTGGCAATTCTTTCAACTAATGTTAGTAACTACATTTTCAGAAAACATATCATTGACATCACTTTGGCCT